AAAGAGGATACAGGCGGTGTTGCGAGGCAACGTTGCCACTGATCCATGGACCCGCTAAGCTCCAGTCTGCAAGGAAGTGGAAATCGAGCTGTGGTTCTCGTCATCAATTTTATGTGTTACATCTCCCTCTTATTAAACCAGCTTATAAATTGTGTGGCAGACCTGATGGTGCTTTTCAATCCTCTCTGAAAAGTCTGTTAATAAGTAGGAAATGCTGTCTCTTGTGTCCCTGCCACTGTTTTAACCTAACTTCTTTCTGCTAATTCAGGAGCAAGCATGGTCACCACTGAGATGTGCGTGGTGCGAGGCAGCAGGACAGGAGCAGGTTGGTTGAGATCTTCACGCACGAGGATCGCTGTCATGGTTTGCAGTTAAATCTAGAGGGTGCTCCGTGCTTGTAGTTCTTGCTTCTCTTTTGCTGCTATTGAAATATCGGATGTGCACTGCGTTTCCCAGCTAACAAAGGTCCTGTGTATGGAGAGGTCTTTCTTGTAATTAGTTGGGTTTTTTTGGTCATGCACAAATGATTAACAGCTAAATCAATTGTGTCAAAGGTTGAGCAAGCTGTATTGCATAGGCACATCTTGGGTTTAGACTGGGGCAAAGTCATTTGAAACAAAAGAAAAACCAAAGCAAAGAAAGGCAAACAAAAAGCTTTGCTCAGCCTGAGCCATCTCTCCTAACAGTTTGTCCTCTGTGTCTGGAGATGAAAGGGCAGTTAATCACTGACTGGCTGCTCGGTAACATTGGGTTAAAAAACTGGCTGCCTGAAACACATCTTTTTATTCGAAGCAGATTCCTGCAAGGAATCAGTTACTGTGCGACTCGGTGTTAAATTGTTATCATCAAGCTGCCAAACTAGAAAGATGCTGCAGCCAGTAGCTTATTTTGCAGAGACATGGCTCCTCAGTCAGATTAATGTCATTTGTGAGATAACTAGGATGCATTAAGAGGTGTAGCACTCGGCCAGGTAATGATGCTGAGGTTGTCAGGTTTGTTTTGTATTAGTGAATATGATTAATTTTATATCTAGCATCCATCATTCCCATAATGAGCAAATTAAAATGTATTTATTCTTTGTATCAGTGAAGCACTCAGAGGCTCAGCCCAGGGTGAGTCTGTGCTGCTAAAAGCTGTAGTTGCACACAGTGCAGCTGCTCAAAGAACCTCTGCTTGTCCAGCAAGAGGAAGGGTGGAGAGACGCGATGGTATTCATCATTTTGTACAGGGAATCACAGATCCGGAGAACTTTATTTCCTCCTAAGATGCTCATTGTAGGTTAAGGCTGATCAGGAAAATGAAGGGAAAGTCTGTTGTGTCTTGAGAATCAAAAAGCCACAGCTGAAGTGAGAAGCGGCAGGACCACAAGGGCTGCCTCAACAGGCAACCACAGAAAAATTCTGCAAGGTTTTGAGGATCCTGATCTGCCTTTGAAAGCCCAACTGAACTGATGGGAATCAGCCCTTGGTAAGTTCTTTGCCTGTTAGGACCATTAAAGAGAGAAAATGACTCAACATAGCAGCTAGAAAACACCAAGGTTTTTGTTACCAAGGCAGATCTTGCTTCCATGGGCTCAAGACTTTGCGTGGGTGGAGCAGAGGATCTCCATGGACCAGGCCTGCCAGGGCTGGGCCTTGTGTCCTTCCCCTGCAGCAAGAGCCCGAGCCCCGTGAGAGGCAGCAAAGGGTGCTCTAGGCAAGGAGAGCTTTGCCGCAGCCATGAGAAGAACTGCTTATGACTCCTCAGGAAGGCAGACAGGAAGAGTAGAAATAAATGATACTGCAGTCTGTTCCTCGGAAGCTGACTTTCGTTTACTTACGACTTCATTCTTGCCAAGATTGGACTATGCTTCATTTGTTGAAATACTCATTTCCCCCCCTCCCCATCCCTTGAAAGTAGCATTACAAATGAAAGTGTAAATTGCTTCTGGACAGATCCCGCTTGCCTGCAGAAAGCCGTGTACTGACAATTGCAACGTTTACCTTGTGACTCTGCCAGGTGGCAGGGCAGCTGCTGTTTACAGTCTGCAGAAACGACCCTGTAATTTATCTTTTTCTCCTTGAACCATTTTCAATCCCCTCGGCAGCCGGAACAGGAGCAGCGGTGGTTCTGAATCGCCGCTGGTACCTTGGAGCGATGAGCACAGCATGCCCCGCGTTTACTCCATGCCCCATCAGACTGTCACTGCTTTATGCCCTGCTCAGCATCGTAACTGTGCATTGCATTGGGTAAGTGGATGTTTCTCAAGCCACATCCGTTTGGTGATATGATAAAGAGGAAAAACTGGCGTGGACTCTCTGCTTTCCCTTTGTGTAGCACATAATTGCTGTCTTGAGCAATTTCTGTATTTCTAATGAATAGCGAAAGACATCGTTTTGAAGTTAACGTAGTGCAATGTGTCTGCCTTTAGAAAAGTAAACCCGTTTGATAAATCTGAGACGACAAATTGCCGTGGTCGTGTTGTAATGTGGAATTCTGTTTGCAGCGGGCAGCCTCCTCCCGTGCTGGCTGCCCAAAAGTGTGTGGAAAGATGGGGTTTTGTTTCCTTTGAGAATGTAGTGGCAAAAGTCTGGCTGGTAGTTGCTTCTCTCTCTGCTAACTTAATAGATTTTGCTCTTTCAGAGGACTGCAGTCAATCAGTGCCTGTAATCTTCCCAGTCTAACTATATTTTTCCACTGTTCTCTGAACTTTGAGCTCTGATTTCATGCCTCAGTGAGCTGATGAGTTTTTGTAATTCCTTTATTCTATGTGATTTTTAATATGCAGTAGTGGGAGCCCCTCGCCAGGCACTAAATCATACTTAAAGCTTCAGCTGATGCTGTTCCTTGTCTTGGGGGAGGAATTGGGAACACTACTATGGTAGTTTACTTGTCAAAGTGGGTATGAAAAGAAACTGATTGTCAGTGTTTTCCTAAAGCTTCCCACTTAGATTAGGTGCTACAAGGAAGCGTTTGTCTGGGATGAGGATTTAATCAGAAATACTGACTCTACTAAAAGAGTAGGCAGCATTGTAGCTGTGGCATCGTGGAAACCTTGGAGACAGTTGTCACATGAGGAAGCAAGAGAGAGGCTGGGGTGAAGAGTAAAGGCTCACACTTGGGATTCAGGTTTGTTGCTGGGATGAAAGGGATTAACGGGTTAATGACTCTCTATTGTGAACTGAGAACAGAGCCTGAGACTAATGGGTTTGGCCAGCATGAGAAAAAATAGGCTGCTCAGCAAAGCGAGGTGCTGAAGCCTGGTTTTCAGAAATGCTGAGTGCACGCCGGGTCTTAGCATTGCAACTGGTGTTTGTCATGGAGATGTCCGTTGCCACTGATGTTTGTCATGGAGATGTCCGACCTTGAAGTTGTTTGTTGTGTATGGCAGTGAGGTACCACGAGGGGTATGAGGACGAGGAACTGATGGGACGAGGGCAGGAACTGATGGTGCAGATTTTGCTGCTGGCCACATTGTAGAGTTATTTGTAGGGCTTGCGTGGCATGAGATAAAACCCATGTTGGTGGGACACAGGCTGAGTTTCCCATGCTGACTAGGTCAAACGTGTGTCCTGCAGTCACCCCCTCCGAGTGCTCTGCAGACCTACTCTCTTGGTGGTGTTGTAGAAGACTGAGTCTACTCTTGGGCATTGAAGAGTGGGTCAGGTTTCATACAGAATCAGTGCCAGTATGAAACGGGTACTGAAATCTAGAGGGGTCATGGAAGATTTGGTGAGGTCTAACAAGCATTCTCTTTGGCATGTAGTTTTGCACAGGTATAGGTCAAGTTGCTCTGTCCTTGTAGCTTGGTGGTTTCACACCCTGAAGCTCTTGTGTTGTTGACCGCAGTGGTGAAGAGGAGCCCCTTAACCTGAGCAGCACCAACAAGAGCGTGGCCAACAGCCGGTGGGCCCGGTCTGTGAGCAACCTGCCACAGCCCCGTGACTGCGCCCTCTCCGCCTGGTCCTCGTGGAGTAACTGCGATCCCTGTCAAAAGAAAAGGGTGAGTGTTTGGGGTCTAGGCGTGCAGCCTGAGAAGCCAGGAGGTAGGACATCCTCCAGGCTTTGTCTTTTATGCCTATGGGGTTGTGCAGACAGTGGGGAGCTGCTGAGGAAAGCCCTGTATGGGTAAGGCGGCAGGCTTTGACTTTCAGGTGGCTTTTAGCTCTTCAGGTCTTCATCCCCAGAGTTATTTCCAGTGGTTCCCAGGCCTTGCTGTCCTAAGAAAGTGAAACACAGGTTGGAAGGCCAGGCTTTGCAGGTACTTTCTCTCCAACACAGTCAGTCCTCTGCTGCCAGCATCATTGCGAGGCACTTTCCCCACTAATGGTCCCCTGTGGGACTTGGAGACACCCAGTGCCTCTCAGGATTAAGTTGCTTTTTCTTGTCTGCCAACAAGCATTTTCTACCCAAGGAGCCTCCTCAAACCAAAGTAATGATCCCTGTAGTGTTAAGAGCAAAATCCTCGTTGTTAGCAGGACCTCTGCTAATGAGTTGGAGAAGCCGTTTCCAGGCTTACCCGGGAAATTCCAGTGAAGTGAGTTGGGAAGAGTGAAGCTTCGTATCAAAGAGTTAATCTTAAAAGATGGGAAAAGAAGGAGGGCTAACATATTGGACTGAGTAATTGACTGCTTCACAGCAGTGTTGTGGGCGGAAAAAAATCCCTAATGATACAGAGGGCCAAGTAAATACACTGACAGAAAATAACAAGGGGTGTCGTTACCAGCGCTAATTGAAAGAGAGGAGATGTAACTGAATCTTTCCTTACTCTTGCAAATGCCTGCACTACCCTGTCAGCCTCATTTAAACAAACTGTCAAAGAAAAGCTAACTTTCCTTCATCCCTTCCAATCCTCAATCCTTCCCTAGTAAAATTAAAACTGTCGCAGCTCAGAAGCCTTTGAAAGGAGGCGCGTTACCAGCATCGCACTTCTTCGCCAACACTTTATTTTTTTAGATGACAGTGCTCTTAGATCATATCTCCCCAACACAAAGTTTGTTTTTTTAACTAGGCAAGCGTGAAATTCACAATTTCTGTGCACTTGAGTCAATATTTTTTATTTCATCGCAGTACAGATTTGCCCGCCTGGAACAACCTTCTCAGTTTAATGGAGATCCGTGCGATTACTCTGACAAAGAAACTGAGGACTGTGCTACAAATAATCCTTGCAGGAGTAAAGTGAGATGTGAAGGTTTTGTATGTGCAGTTACGGGTAAGGACTTGCGGAGTGAGAAGTGGTGGTGCTCATGTGGCGTCTCAGACACCACCACACTGAACTTTCTGCTTCTGCAAGTGTTTGATGTGCTAGGGAGATGTCAGGAGTTGACCGGCGTCCATCCATGCTCATGTTGAGTTTGCATCAGTGATTTTGAGTCTGTTGGCCAGTGCCTGTCAGTCTAAAACATGTCTTTAAAATCTCCACAGAGGAAATTAAAACCCAGTTACATCAGGAGAATCTGTAGCACAAGTGGAACTGACAACGACAGGGGAACACGCACTGGGCATCCTTGACACATGCCCAGGAGCACAGCAGGTTATGATGATGGTCCTCATGACATTTCCTTCCATCCATATCATTGCCTAATTAGACAAGGACACTGTAAGGAGTGTGGGGAAGCAAGGCAGCAGTTAGCTGTAGCCAAAATTTGATCAACCTCTGCATCTGCACCCTGGCAGTAGAGAGGAAAGTGTGCGGGGAGCAGGGTGCTGGGGCAGGGGAGAGGTGGGGGACAGAGATCAAATTCACTTTCCTTTGCCCTGTTTCCCATGCTCTGTCCCTTTTTATACTTCTAATTAGGGATTATTTTTTTCCAAGGTTGAACGAGGAATTTTAAGATTTTGAAAATGTTGAGGAAAACTCAGCAGATGGAGTTTGGCGATTAAAAACCTGAGGGTTTTTCCATGCAGAGAGAGGGGAAATACTTTCCAGCTAATTTCGAGGCATACATAACAGGAGTCTTTTATGTTGTTTCTAGACTCTTGAGTCAGAGACTGTGATTGTGCAAAATTACCTGTAAACATGAGAATAGATTGTTTTATGAGCGATTGTCACCTTGTATCCTAGGGAGATGCATTGCACGGAGGCTGCTCTGTAATGGGGATGATGACTGCGGGGACCAGTCCGATGAAAAGAATTGCAAAAAAGTGTTTAAAAAATGTGACCAGAAGATGGAGCAATACTGGGGAATAGAGAATCTGGCAAAAGGGTAAGTCAGTGACCTTCATGATACGTTTTGTTACTTAAGCAGAATCTTATGTGGCTTCAAATACATTGAACAGAGAAAAGCTGTAGCAATTGCTGTATCCATGAATTAGGATCCAACAGAGGGAAGTGTCAACATCAAACAGTATCTCTAATATCTACAGGTACTTGCCCTTAAATTAATCAGTGGGAGAGTTGCAATAATCTAGGTATTTTGCACAGATGGAAGTAAAGTTAGACTTTGGCCTAATTCAGTCTGTGGAGATCAGGAATGTCGTAGCCTTTAGGAACTGAGAGACCACTTCAAATCAGGCTTTTGAAGTCAAAACGAAGGAAGGTTTGTTAAAATCTGAACATAAAGTTATATCATTCTTTATAGAGTGACTTCAGTCAGCATTTTGGATTGCCTTCAATTTGAACCTGCCTATGGATTTGTATTTTTGCACAGCGGATGGATTTTGGGGGGCAATTTGTCAAAATTTCTTGGATTTCTTCCATGACAATGAGAGACGGTGGGATTTGTGTCCTCTGTGTGAGTGGGGTAGGATTAACCTGCAGTTACCAAGCACCGACTTTTTGGGCATTCAAATCCATGTCTGAATTGAGCCAGCTGTTACTGGCTAAGACCATGGCAACTTTCTGCGAGATCGGATTGTGTGAGAAGAGTCCTTTCTCATTCTGCAGAGAAAAAAAATGCTTTTTATGTAAAAAAAATAGGAAAAGAAAAAACATATTGCAAGGAAAAATTGTAATTTCCTCCTTATTCTCTGGAGATATGGCTGCTACACTTGTCATTGCTAATGCTTTGTACTTCTGAGTTTAATCAAAATTAAAAATAATGTTGGACGATTATAGGAACATGCTTCTCATCTCTTTGAAGCTGCAATTGCTCGCTAATTTGCTTTTAGTGGACTTCCCTTCCTTTCAGATTGTTCTAAAATTAGAGTTAATATTTTACAGCTTCAAAGTCATTATCATGCAAAGCCTCTCTCCCCAAAATAAGGAGAAGCAGATCTAACCGAGGCCTGGAACGCTAATAGGGACCTGACGTGGATTATTAGCAATTTAGCTTCTTTTTTGTGAAGTTTCCTCTAATGACTCTCGTTACTGTTTGAGTTTGTGGAGATGAGCACTGTGTCCTCAGCTGTGTGCCACGGTGTGAGGGTGTCTTGATGATGACCAACAGCAGGGCTTTTACTGCAACAGATCCCACCAGCAGCAGTAGGAAAAGCAAATGAGCCTGGTTTAATCGCCCCATCTAAAAGGGTTGCAGTGCAGCATCCTTTCTCAAGCAGACAGTGCAAGATTACTGTCCATCATCCACTAGAACCAAAGGAAAACGTAGTCATTTGATGCTTAGCCTCTAAATCGATTATAATCTTAATATTTTTGCCATTATACTTCATGTGCAGGTTAAATATCTTCACAAACAACTTGGAAGGATTAGTTCTTGATCACAGGTACTATGCTGGGGGATGTTCTCCCCATTATATTGTGGACACGAGATTCAGAAAGCCATACAATGTAGAAAGCTATACGCCAGAGGTACGTGTCAGATTTGTCTGCAAACAGCTGTATTTTCTACTAAATTTACTGCTTAATGTCAATAAAGCTTCCATGACTAAATCATTTTATAAAGAATTGCAAAACTCATGAGATCAAATGGGATGAGGCTGAATTTAGCCCTATTTCTGGAACATCATCATACCCCACACACTCTATGAACGGGGACAAGTCCCTTTATAATATCCAAGTGTGCTGGAATAGATGGCAATGTTCCCTTGGACCTTGTCATTGCAAAAACAGAGCCTGACCTTCCTGGTGCCGAATGTACAAGAGGATCCTACAGCCACCCAGTGGGTGCAGCGACGTTGATTTTAGGCAGAGTTCCTTTCCCAGGCTGGGGAAGCTCTCCTGGAGCAACACCTAGGATGTGACAGCACACCGGGTGCTTTGTGGGAAAGCTCATTGCTGTGGTGCACATTTCTATACGCTGTATTTCAGACATTAACTATTTGACCTTAATGCTTTTGATGACACAGCGTGGTATTGTTGAGTGTTGCCCATTAGGAGGCTTTTCCCTCTTAGAATTCATACGTTCATTGATGCCTGTGTTTAAGAGTTCACCTTCTTTGCATAACATTGACACACTAAGTAAAAGCCTGAGGTCATTCCAGTGTGGAGGAGATGGTAGCTTTCCTGCTGCTGTAAACCAAGTATTCTTGAAGTACCAGTGTTCATAATAATAGTGCTTTGCAATTATACAAGGCTTTTCATCTTCAAAGTGCAAGCATTAATTCACAAGTATATTTGTATCTGTGCTCCTTCCCCATGCTTCAGGTACACGGTGGCTGTGCAGGAAATTAAACGTGTTGTTTTTGCTTTCTGCTTAGACCAAAGGCAAATATGAATTTACAATGACTGAATATGACTCCTACTCAAATTATGAAAGCAGCGTCCTGAGGGCAAAAGCTTCGCAGTCTAGCTTCAGCTTTGGTATAAAAATACCAGGAGTGTTTGAACTCGGTTACAATTCAAACGACAACAGGTTCAAGAAGTTCATGCAGAGGATGAAAAGATTTTCTTCAACTGTAAGCACTGCTCCACTTAATTCTCTGCTAATGCCATTATCTGTGTGTGTGTGTGTATATCGGTTTGCTCCCCATCATCAGGTCAGCAGCCATGACTGGGATAGATGAAATCTTTCCTCCTGATTGGATTTTGCAGGTTGCATTGGTCAAGTGTTTGCTAAGGCCACAACGTCTTCGTTAGTGTGTACAACACCCCCAGGAGCTTTTCCATCCACCTATCAGCCAGGAACAAGGCTGCCTAACCCCCAGAATTAGCCACAATTGAGTGCAGTCCATCCCCTGTCCTGCTGAGCATCCACATTTGGGTGTTTGTAGTGAAGTCATTAGCAAAAAAAAAAAAAGAGAAAAGAAAAAGCAGGTTCAAATGGCTTTCCCTTCATACAGTGGACTCGCTATTGGGAGATGTGCCATCAGCGCAGAACATCGTCTCGCACATGGAGGGCCATGCCTCTTTTAGGTAGGTTCAGCAAGGCAGGAGCTGTCACTTTGGTAAACGATAACGCAAACAGCAGAGCCGAGCTGTTCAACTGTAGGGCAGCCTTGACAATAATGTAGGGTGAAAACTGCTAGCAGCCCTTCCGTGGGTTTAATTATAGACTAACACATGCCATTTTACTTTGGCTGGTGGCATCTATCTGCCAAGCACATCATTCACCAGCGCAGGGCGCACACAGCACAAAATGTGGATGGCACCATCACTTCCAGTCTCGTCTGCCGAGATTTGGTCGCAGCTGTGATCTGATGCACACTTTAAGCTGGCTGGAGGTGCTTTATAACTCCTAGGACTGCTTTATAAGATTGAGGCTGAGGTAGCACGCACCATCGTTTGATTTCTTTTTTTCATCTCTTATTGCTGCAAACAAACCCGGCTCTTGTCAAGGGTTTAGTACTATCACTGATCTATGTCTCTCCCCTCGGTATAAAGTGCACTCAGGAATGGCAGGGTATTCTTTGTTGCTATTAAACTTGCATTTGCCTCCTGCAAAGAGGTGTTTCCCATGACAAGATTAGAGACATATAAGAAGCATTTGCAATAGATAGCCAGAAAGAAGCCCAATTCTGTGTCTTGATTTTATTATTTAAGCTACAGTTCTGTATTGAAACCTCCCTGATGTGCTTGTCCTGGACACCAAATCCTTTGGACATGATGAAAGGCCTCTTCTGTTCCTGACTTTTATGCCAGAAAGGAGAGATATAACATATACCCATGTACCCACATCAGTAGAGACGTATCAATATGTGTGTGTGAGAGTGTTTGTGTTTTCTTCTTTCCTTTGAGTTTTGCTAGCGGTGTATTCTGTGGAATATAAATATTAATTTGGCTCAGCCAGAGAATTACCATTTCACATATAAATCGTCAAGACTTCAGGGGTCAGAATTTTTCAGAAGAGAGCTTGTGGGAGACAAGGGCAGGTCAGCATTGCTAGGGACAGAGCAGTCTTTTGGCATGCTGCTTTGTGTCCTAGTGTCCTAGGTCTGTCAGAGCAGACCCTGGAGCCTGGCCATCCCCGTGTCCCAGCTGTGGCCTGAACCATCAGCTAACCTGTGATGGCTGCCTCTCCCTTTTCCTTTTTTCCCTCCGTAATACCCATCCTTATTTTCGGAAACTCTACTACTAAAAGTTTTGGTTTTGCCAAATTGAAAGAGTCCCAGTTGCAAACTGTTCGACTGATAAATCCTTACCAGCCTTGTTTAATAGCAAATAACTACAAGCTGTCACAAGAGTGACATCCCTCACCAATTCCAGATTCTCTTGTGTTTCTGCATTTCCTGTAGTCCAGCAAATTCATTCACGCCCGTTCCGAGCTGGCTGTTGCTGTTTACAAGCTGAAGGCCCGAGCCCTGATGCTGCATTTTGAGTTCTTGCAGAGGCTCCATCAGCTCCCATCCGAGTACAGCTATGGGGAGTACAGGGAGCTCTACAGAGACTATGGGACCCACTACATCACGGAGGCTACCGTCGGTGGCACCTATGAATATACTTTAGTCGTGAACAGCGACGAGCTCCAAAAGGCAGGTACGTGCAGCTGAAAAAGCTTTGGGGCCAGCTTTTCGGTGGGAAGACCCCTCCGCAGGCACCCAGTGATGGTTCAGGTCTGAGGTCAGCAGAGGGGGATGGTGGAAGAAGTAGTCAACAACATCTCAAAGGAAGCCTGCAGCAGATATGGGAGCAGAAGTGCTTTATGGCAGTGAACAGGGAGCCTGGTTTTCAAAGCATGTTCAGTGTCATGGGCTTCATTTAGCTCTCAAGCTGTGGGTGCTGCCAGTTCACACAAAAGGGCCCCGTAGCAAGTATTTGAGACAACACATTTTGGAGGCTGACAAGATGTTGAGATGAATGAGAATCGTGTAGCTCAATGCTTTTGTTAGCTTCGAAAGCCTTCACCTAGGTTCTTTTTCCATTGCCTTTCAAGTGACAGTTTTGAAACACCTTTAGCCTCGAGAGCTTTTCCAGCTTGTAGGAAACAGTAAATAATTTGCTGGGTGACTCTTGTGCCTGACATTGCTCTTGCTCTTTGACTCTGGCTTCCTTTTTTGCGAGAAATGATGATTGTTGTGTGGGATAGAGCGAGCTGTGTGACATTAATCAATAGCTGCACTCTCTTATTTATTCATTGGCATGGGAGTGAGTAACTGCCTTGGCTGTCTATTTGCAAAAGCATTTAGTGGACTCTGCCACGTATGAGGCTCAGTCTGTTTGCTCTTCTGCTCTCTAGGAAGTTGCTTATCCTGTAGTCAGATACAGCCTGGAGGGACAGAATTGAGATTCAAATTTCAGATATTCAAACCATTAGCACTGCCCAGTTTCTCAGATGCTGGCGTGGGCCCATCACAAGCCACATTTGTTTGATGTGTTTTATTCTTTGCATCAAAATGCTACCCGACAGCGTCTGTTGACCGAGATCAGGGCCCTGCAGTAGCACCAACATTTTCACACTATCCCCATTGCTGGGCTGTAAAATTCTCACCGGGATTTGATGGGTCCAGTCTGGGAATTCAGGTTTTTCCTTTCAAATCCATCATTATGTTTGTTGTCTGTGCTGGCAATCTTTTTGCAGATCTAGTATCACACACAGTGTTACACAGTTGGTACTTGCACTGCTGTCCCATATGATCCCACAAGCCAGATGTATCTGTGTTCCGTGGTTCGATACTTTCTGTGGGAACAACAGCGGTCTGTATTGTGCCAGGTGCTGCACAAGGATGTCCTGAAATAGTGGTTCCTGCCTTCAAGTGCATGAACATGAGTAGGTGCCATCCTGCATCAACCCAAAACTCAGTGCATCCCATTTTCTGATCTAGAAACTGGCCAACATCAGATGTATGGGAAGAGTGTAAGAACAGGCTGTACAGTGATACTTGTGTTGTGAGCTTGTGTAAAAATTTGTATCATCAGGACATGAGTTTAACTGAAGAAGTAAAGAATTCAGGGAAGCATAGGGATTTACAAGCAAAGCAAAGAAGTACTTGAGTGTCCTATCTGGTGTTTCACCGTGATAACTGCTTAAAACGGCAAAGAATTTGGAGGAGGACTTTTGAGGAGGAACATATGAAGGTTTTGCAGATTTTTAGGGCGAATTCTTTTATGTCAGGAAAAGAATTACAATAGAGCTTCATGGAGGAAGGTCCATGAAGCAATTCAGGCTCTCCTGGCAGAAAAGAATTGAAGATGTGATTTAGCAGAGGGTAGAAAAGCTGATTCATCTGTTACTCTTAAAAAGCTTGGCTTCTGATGGTGGGGTTTGATGTTCAAGTCACAGGCCAGGCTCACACCCATTGCAGTTCTCCATAACCCAGTTCAGTTGAGATGATCATCAAAAGCCTCTTCCAGCATTTACCTTGCATTTGCACTTGGTTTCAGGGTTCTGTGCAATGTAGAAATTTCATTTTATGTCATATAGATCTGTTAGATATCTGGGAAAAAAGCTACTTTATCTCATTTTTTTCCCAAAGGAAAAATATTTATCAGCTCACATTTTCTGTGTATATGGAGAAAAAACACTGAGCAATTGTATGAAAATGTTACATTTTTTTGGTGTGCATTTAAGGTTATTCCCTGAGCGATGTCCAAAAATGTGCGCAGCATGGCTTTAACATTGCTGTCCACCTGACGCTTGGAATGACTGTAGCTGGCTGCAAATCCCTTTTAAAGGAGATTGGAGGTAAGCATGAAACACTTCTGCCATTTCATTTCCAGCCTTTGACATAGTGAAAAGGAGATTTTGTGATCCTGCCTGCCTGAAAGATTTCCCCAGTCTCTCACAGCTGCTTTTGAGTTTGCTGGCTAACTTCAGCCAGGCTCAGCAGAGCTGTAGATGTCTCAAAGCTTGGGCTTTTTTGCAAGATTTCCTTTGCTGGGTGCAGTAGCAATATCTGCTCAGCGTCCCAGGGAAAAGCAGGGACAGACCAACCATTACCCTCCTGGCTGGTGCTATTATCAATACCCCCAGCTGTCAGCAGAGCAGCCCAGCATTCCGCTTTTTCCACCCAAAAAAAGCCTAAATGGGGAAAGCAGGGAGGTAATGGTGTTGTGACAGCCTCGGGTTACGTATAGGAAGCTGGGTGTGTTGCAGATGGAGGAGGGTGCACCTGGAGATATGTAGAGGTCAACAAGCAGTATTCATGGTGGTGAGGAGCATCGGGGTGTGGAAGAACCTCCAAGCTTGTAACTGTAGGGAAGAAATTTAGGAGGAGAGATTTAGGGTGCAGGAGAGGAGGATGGGGGTATTGCTGCAAGGGAGCAGGAGGACACGCAGCGTAGGAAGCCAGGCTTCAGGTGTGAAACGGCCACAAGCTGGAACACAGGAGGTTCCACTGAAATTGGAGAAGAAACTTCTTCTCAGTGAGGGTGACAGAGCCCTGGCCCAGGCTGCCCAGAGAGGTTGTGGAGTCTCCTTCTCTGCAGACATTCAAAACCCGCCTGGACGCCTTCCTGTGTAACCTCATCTGGGTGTTCCTGCTCCGGCAGGGGGCTTGGCCTGGATGAGCTTTGGAGGTCCCTTCCAATCCCTGACGGTCTGGGATTCTGGGATTCTGTGAAACGCTGGTGGCCTTTCTCCTCTGCCCATCAGTGGGAATGGGTCGTGTACCAGGGTGGTTTGCTGTTAGTTTAAACCTCAACTGCAGTCCACAAAGACACACCTGAGCAGAGTTGGCCGCTTTCTGAATGCATTTTTTGCAGACAGCACCTCCGAAAAACGGTACGTGGAAGATTTCATCGTCCTCGTTCGCGGCGGAGCCAGCGAGCACATTACGGCGTTGGCCTACAGAGACCTGCCGACGGCTGCGCTCATGCAGGAGTGGGGAGATGCTGTGCAGTACAACCCTGAAATCATAAAGCTAAAGGTACTGCATCTGTTTTACCAATGGAGCACTTATAAAAATTACAGCTGACAGCATATATTTTATAAGGACTTATTTTTTCTTGAAATTT